AAAAAACTGTCGTTGTGCTAAAAATAATAGCAGTCAGACATCACAAATTGATCAATCCACTGTTTTTGGTTTAAGGAAATGATTATTTTACATGGCAAATAATTTACTAGCAAGTATCTGTAGTAGAGTAATAGAAATCCAAACAGACCCAACAGGCATGACATGCATGCTCTGCTGAATTTCTGTGTAATTGAATCACTAATTGGGGGTAGGGGGCCATGGGGTGGGGTGGCGAAATAATAGCAGTAGTGGGGAATGTTTTCTCTAGTGCGGTCATTCATTCTTTGAAAACAAGATGGTGGCAATTGATTGCCTTATATTAAGGAAGGACCAAGGCAGCAAATGTTGTACATGCTGTGTTACAGTGTCATTTCCTCTCTGAATATTCTGAGGAAATGGGTAGGTTAGTATCCAGACATTGTTCAGAAAGAAACTGCGTACCGTTGATTAAAAGATTGATTGGAGAGGGAACAACATCTTAGAAGGACTCAGTCAAATATTATAGACTGCTCAGCTGAAATGATCGCCAAATGCTTTAAAATAGGACAACCAAAACCTGAACGACGTACGAAAAGCAAAAAAAAATTACCACTCGAAATGGGATAGAGAATAAGCCAAAATGGGCAAGGACTCCAGCCCCAGCCAATCAGCTCTAGGAAAGATCAAGAAGGTCCTAAAGTTCACTGTGAGTACTGTTACAATTAGAAGACGCCCTTTGTCGAAGCCAAGCTATCTGCAAGAAGCATGTGCAAAGTCCCACTGTTGAAAAAAAGAACGTGACTGAAAGAGGTGTACAATTTGCCAAACGAGCACATTGACTGGACCTAAAGAGAAATGGCGCAACATTTTGTGGACTGATGAAAGTAAGAGTGTTTCTTTTGGGTTCTAGTGGCTCGGATCAGATTTTTGGGACTCAGTCGACCCATCCCCAAAACATGAATTTCAAAGCCACAGTACACTGTGAAGACAGTGAAGCATGGTTGGCAAGGGGGGATCATGATATGGGGAGTTTCTCATACTACGGTGTTGGGCCTATTTATCGCATACCAGGGATCATGGATCAGTTTGGAATGACATCAGAATACTTGAAGAGGGTCATGCTGCCTTATGCTGAAGAGGAAATGCCCCTTGAAATGGGTGTTCCAACAAGACATACGACCCCTAAAACACACCAGTAAACGTGCAACATCTTGGGTTCCAGACAAACAATTGACGTTATGGAGTGGCCAGCCCAATCCCCGGATTTAATCCAATAGAAAAACTTGGGTGGGTGGTGACATCAAAATGCAGTTTCTGAGGCAAAACCAAGAAATAGAGAAGAACTGTGGATGTAGTCCAATCATCCTGGGCTGGAATACCTGTTCACTGGTGCCAGAAAGTTGGTTGACTCCATGCATCACAGATGTACAGCAGAGTTCTCAGAAAACAGTGCGTTATACAACTAAATATTAATTGCTTTAAAGGAAAGCAAAATCTTCAAACATTTTCAGTTTAAGATATAATGAATGTTTGAGTTTGTAAAGAAGAATGTAAACACTGCTATTTTTTTGAACAGTCTAATATTCACGTTTTCTTCTATTTTTTTAGAGGAACAACACAAATTTGATATATTTTTCTTCATGTTTTGATTTGGAATAGAATGTGTAGTGTTCCCAATGCATTTGTGTGTATGGAAATAAAAGCTATTAGAAGGATTTTGAGCTTTATTCCCTTTTTTCAACACACTGCTATTATTTTGAACACAACTGTATATATACATGATTTTTCATTTCCGGGGAGGGGGCGTGCGCAAGCTATTTGCGGCCTCGGCTGTTAATCACTGGGTCCCGGCCGGTGATTACTCGCTGACACACCTGGTCATCGCTTGAGTATATTACTGATGGGGGAGAGAACTGGATGTAAACAATACAGTTCTCTCCCCTGTCAGCTCCTGCACATTGCTTTATATGGCTCTGCATAGAGCCATACAAAGCAGTGTGCTTACAGAGTAAAGCACACACACAGCTTACTGGGAAACAGCATACAGTCCACCCTTTGATCACCCCAGATGTTAACCCCTTCCTGCCCAGTGCCATTAGTACAGTGTCAGCTTTATATTAGCACTGATCACTGTATTGGTGTCACTTGGGATGTCAGTGACACCAAGTCAGATCTCCCCCAGTGTCAGAATACCAACCACAGTCCTGCTATAAGTCGCTGATTGCCGCCATTACTAGTACAAAAAAAAAAAAAAAGATCCAGTATATTTACCTCAATTTGTAAACGCTATAACTTTCACATAAACCAAGTAAATTACATGCATTGGGATTTTTTTTAGCAAAGATATGTAGCAGAATATATTTTGCCCTAAATTTATGAATACATTTGATTTTTAACAAAATCTAGGAGGGGAGATCTGTAGAAATATCTGAATTTTCAGTCCCATAAAGGAAATATTTTCCTTTTAATACTTCTCAAAAATCAATTATCTCCCCCTGCTTTTAAATTAAATCCCAAAAAATTCAACCTGTCTGATCAACTCTCACTTTTTGTTCATTTTGTATTTTTGATATATTTAAAATTGATGAATGATGTAATTTATCTAAAAATTTAAGAACCCTTGCATAATGTCAAAGGTCCTGTGTTTTGTTTTTTTTTAGGGGCCTCTGCATTGCTCCATACTTACTTCCATTAACTTGAAGGATACATTACAGATGTGTGCTCAGTTGTACAAAAAATAGAGATTGCATAAGATACTTGCACGCTAGAGGAAATGGAAGAACTGATTCATATTGCACAGATCGCCTCCCTAGGTTTACTTCTAGATGGCTTTGCTGGTCTAATTTTAAAACAGCTGAACAATACAAGAGATATTTACAGTAGATTGTGAGGCTTCCCAGACTAGAGTCCCCTGCGTATTACTGACCCTGCAGAGCATTAAACACAGTATCCTAGATTGTAAATAGAGATGAGCGAATCGAAGTAGGCGAAGTGGAATTCGTTTCGAATATTAGGAAAATTTCGCGAATCGAAATTTTTCCTAAAATGGCGGCGACATGTGCGGCGACGGAGCGGGGATGTCTGGGAAGGCGCGCAGACAAGGCGCGCTGACCCATAATGCATTCATTCATGACGTGATCGCATTAGCCAATCAGCAGCCAGCCAGCCAGCACTGTGTAATGGTCGAGCTATAAATGGCGGCCATTTTAGAATTCTCCATTTGCCTCCAGTCATTCAACAGAGGCAGACCTGGCTGTATTCAGGGAGAGAGTTAGGGACACAGAAACGTTACTTAGGGCCACAGAATTGTTACTTAGGGACAGACACAGAATTGTTTACTGAGGGACACAGAATTGTTACTGAGGGCCACAGAACTGTTACTTAGGGCCACAGAAACGTTACTTAGGGACACAGAATTGTTACTTAGGGACAGACACAGAATTGTTACTTAGGGACAGACACAGAATTGTTACTGAGGGACACAGAATTGTTACTTAGGGCCACAGAAATGTTACTTAGGGCCACAGAAACGTTACTTAGGGACACAGAATTGTTACTTAGGGACAGACACAGAATTGTTACTGAGGGACACAGATTTGTTACTGAGGGCCACAGAAACCGTTACTTAGGGCCACAGAAACGTTACTTAGGGACACAGAAATTGTTACTTAGGGACAGACACAGAATTGTTACTGAGGGCCACAGAATTGTTACTTAGGGCCACAGAAACGTTACTTAGGGCCACAGAAACGTTACTTAGGGCCACAGAATTGTTACTTAGGGCCACAGAAACGTTACTTAGGGCCACAGAAACGTTACTTAGGGCCACAGAATTGTTACTTAGGGCAGACACAGAAACGTTACTTAGGGCCACAGAAACGTTACTTAGGGCCACAGAATCGTTACTTAGGGCCACAGAAACGTTACTTAGGGCCACAGAATTGTTACTTAGGGACAGACACAGAATTGTTACTGAGGGACACAGAATTGTTACTGAGGGCCACAGAAACGTTACTTAGGGCAGAAACGTTACTTAGGGACACAGAATTGTTACTTAGGGACACAGAATTGTTACTTAGGGACCACAGAATTGTTACTGAGGGCCACAGAATTGTTACTTAGGGCCACAGAAACGTTACTTAGGGCACAGAAACGTTACTTAGGGCCACAGAAACGAATTGTTACTTAGGGCCACAGAATTGTTACTTAGGGCCAGAAATATGTTACTTAGGGCCACAGAATTGTTACTTAGGGCCACAGAAACGTTACTTAGGGCCACAGAATTGTTACTTAGGGACAGACACAGAATTGTTACTGAGGGACACAGAATTGTTACTGAGGGACACAGAATTGTTACTGAGGGACCACAGAAACCGTTACTTAGGGACACAGAATTGTTACTTAGGGACACAGAATTGTTACTCAGGGACAGACACAGAATTGTTACTGAGGGACACAGAAGAATTGTTACTTAGGGACACAGAATTGTTACTTAGGGACACAGAATTGTTACTGAGGGACACAGAATTGTTACTTAGGGCCACAGAATTGTTACTTAGGGCCACAGAAACGTTACTTAGGGCCACAGAATTGTTACTTAGGGCCACAGAATTGTTACTTAGGGCCACAGAATTGTTACTTAGGGCCACAGAAACGTTACTTAGGGCCACAGAAACGTTACTTAGGGCCACAGAATTGTTACTTAGGGGGACAGACACAGAATTGTTACTTACTGAGGGACACAGATTGTTACTGAGGGCCACAGAAACGTTACTTAGGGACACAGAATTGTTACTCAGGGACAGACACAGAATTGTTACTGAGGGACACAGAATTGTTACTGAGGGGACACAGAAACCGTTACTCAGGGACACAGAATTGTTACTGAGGGACACACAGAATTGTTACTGAGGGACACAGAATTGTTACTTAGGGACACAGAATTGTTACTCAGGGACAGACACAGAATTGTTACTCAGAGGGACACAGAATTGTTACTGAGGGACACAGAATTGTTACTCAGGGACAGACACAGAATTGTTACTCAGGGACAGACACAGAATTGTTACTGAGGGACACAGAATTGTTACTGAGGGACACACAGAATTGTTACTCAGGGACAGACACAGAATTGTTACTGAGGGACACAGAATTGTTACTGAGGGACACAGAATTGTTACTGAGGGACACAGAATTGTTACTCAGGGACAGACACAGAAATTGTTACTCAGGGGACAGAACAGAATTGTTACTGAGGGACACAGAATTGTTACTGAGGGACACAGAATTGTTACTCAGGGACACAGAATTGTTACTCAGGGACAGACACAGAATTGTTACTCAGGGACAGACACAGAATTGTTACTGAGGGACACAGAATTGTTACTCAGGGACACAGAATTGTTACTCAGGGACAGACACAGAATTGTTACTCAGGGACACAGAATTGTTACTGAGGGACACAGAATTGTTACTGAGGGACACAGAATTGTTACTCAGAGGGACACAGAATTGTTACTCAGGGACACACAGAATTGTTACTCAGGGACAGACACAGAATTGTTACTCAGGGACACAGAATTGTTACTCAGGGACACAGACACAGTTACTGAGGGACACAGAATTGTTACTGAGGGACACAGAATTGTTACTCAGAGGGACACAGAATTGTTACTCAGGGACACACAGAATTGTTACTGAGGGACACAGAATTGTTACTGAGGGACACAGAATTGTTACTCAGGGGACAGACACAGAATTGTTACTCAGGGACACAGAATTGTTACTGAGGGACACAGAATTGTTACTGAGGGACACAGAATTGTTACTCAGGGACACACAGAATTGTTACTGAGGGACACAGAATTGTTAGAATTGTTACTGAGGGACACAGAATTGTTACTCAGGGACACACAGAATTGTTACTCTGAGGGACACAGAATTGTTACTCAGGGACACAGAATTGTTACTCAGGGACACAGAATTGTTACTCAGGGGACACAGAATTGTTACTGAGGGACACAGAATTGTTACTGAGGGACACAGAATTGTTACTCAGGGACAGACACAGAATTGTTACTCAGGGACAGACACAGAATTGTTACTGAGGGACACAGAATTGTTACTGAGGGACACAGAATTGTTACTCAGGGACACAGAATTGTTACTCAGGGACAGAATTGTTACTCAGGGACACAGAATTGTTACTGGGACACAGAATTGTTACTGAGGGACACAGAATTGTTACTCAGGGACACAGAATTGTTACTCAGGGACAGACACAGAATTGTTACTCAGGGACACAGAATCGTTGAATTAAAGAGTATGTCAGACAACATGCAGAGGAGTGGCAGAGGAGGCAATGTTTTAGGAGCGAGCAGACGTGGCAGCAGAGGAAGGGGTCGAGGCAGCACTAGTCGCAGCCAGAGGCCAGTGCTCCCGGTGTCATCCAGCGGTCGTCGTGTCTCCACCGACAACCCTGCCGTCATCGATTGGTTGGGCTCGGTCGTCTTCCTCTTCCCAGGTCACCTCTGACACCTACAGCCAACGGTCGGTGGGTACGTCAGACACAACCGTTAGTTGGCATGGCCCGGGAGCAAGCCCACTGAAATCACGTGTCCTCTACCTGCCCCTGTCCTTTGGTGTTCCCTCACCAAGCGAAGTATCGCATGCTGTGGGCTCAGCCCCACTGTACAGTGAGGAAGAGCTAACAGAGGGCGGTCAGGAACGGGGGGAGACATCCGCCTCTTCAGCAGCCAG